TTTAGTTTAGAGGATGGAACAGCCGGGATGGACCAATAGGTCCCATGTTGTTCCAAAACGTTATGTTACGTTTTTAGGGGCAAGGATACATAAAACTGAAGACAATAAAAATATACTCCCTCAAGGAACTCCCCGCCGCAAAAAATTTAAACAGTGCTTCAATGATATCAGAGCATATTTGATCATATTTATAAAAATTCCATAGAGTAATCAGCGAAAACTGTCCTCGGCTTATCACTGTATAAGATCTGCTATTAAATAGGAACACATATAGATCATAACTTCCGATCTCTATCACTGCAAGCTTAGATGAAGAAAAACCAGAAAGTTATCTCTGGATGAAGCGCTAATTTTATACACTCATGTGATATAAAAGAATCTAAAGATTTGTGTAAAGCTACCTTTCAGGAAGATGAGAGATAAAGGCTGACTTGTCAATCAATCTTCAGGTATCAAATTATCCACCTTTCCTTCAAACGAATCTTATTCTTCAGAAGAGGCGTAGAATGAATTTCCCATCTCTCAGACTTACAATATGAAACACTACACTGCACATTACCTTTAAACTTTTAATTTTAATTAATAATTAACTTTAGATAAGAACAAGCTAAGTCCTTAGAGCGAAACTAAACATCAATCTGGAGGTCAGTATAGCTAATTATATACACCATTCTTACGTTTCTGTTTAAAAAGATTATAATGCATTAATTCATTAGATGGGAACCCTCGCTGTTAGCGATGGTTTCGATTATTCAAATCTGCCTCTAACAAATAAGGCATCACACACCCACGTGTTCTGATCACGTATCTTGTTATCCTCTGTAGAAACCACTTTTCTTAATGAAAAACAACACCAAAATAATTAATGATGACTGGTTTCACACTTAAGTTTGTGTAGATGTTAAACTGGTTATTTTGGTATCTATTACTTATACCTCGGTGATCTAAAACATTGTTAATGGTTTGCATGAAGAAGCTGAGGAATTATCTCGTCTAAGCATAAATATTTACTATTACTCCTCGTTATCTGGTGTCTTTCACACTGTTCGTACAATATGGAAAGCAGAACATCCACTGGGTACCTTACAAGTTTAAAAACCATAAGTAAGTTAACTGTGGAAATTATGTAAACACTTATTTTTCAAAGCTAAAATATAACTGATTAAAGCCATGAACAGACACACAGTTCTGACTAAGAATATATATTAGCATGCCTATCAATATGACTTATACCTGTACTATTGTGTACATTATGTGCTTCAAAAGCAAGAAAAAAGCAAGTTTAGTAGTTTTGTGGTTAGTTTGATAGTTTCAATAATAAAAAACCCTTCTACTGTTTTAGTTATAATCGAAAGACAAATGAACAAAGATAAAGACCTATCTTCAGGGTTTACTAAGTTCAGACATGTAAAAAAACTAAACAAAATAAATCTTGGAGCTAGTTCGCAATTTATTTATTAGAGGATTACGTTCAATAAATACATTTTGGATTTCGCTCGAACATTTATTTTGTTAAGTTTCCATTAATAAAAAAAAATATTCTTAAAATTCAAATATATATAAAAAAACAACAAAAATACTAACACAATACAAGAAACTACGACACGCCGCAGCCAGTATAAGAATTATGCGATAAGAGGAACACGGCGGACTCGGACTTGAGCAAGATCGTCAACATTGAAATCCTCGGAACAATTATAGTTGTCTTTGTCCGAGTTACTATTATCCTTTTTCTTATAGTTGATGGAGTTGATCAAAGGAATTGGTGAACTGTGTTCTGAATCCAATACGTCATTATTTTGTGACTTGGCTGGATTACGGTACATCAGGAAAAAGGGTAAAAATACACTGCTGTCACCTCTGTTAAAATATATATATATTTAGGGTCCTTTGTATTGCGATGAAAAGTATAAAGATAGATAATGATACCTTATAGGAATAAGTAAATTATACAACCATAAATTTTAAAGTTGTAGAATATTACGATAGCTTATAACGTATTCAAGTTTTAGGCAGTCTTGGATAGAATAACGATTTTGAAAGGAATACAAGCATTCTAAACTATGTTAGGAAAGACAGTTTTAGTGTAGCATTGTAAACCTGTTTTTTGTTTTGTAATTAATGTCAAAAATTTTCAAACTTATAATTCTATCATTGTAACAAAAATTATACCTCTAATGAGAATTTTTCAAAAAACAAAAACAGTAAAGCTTCTTATCGAAAACTTTAATTCTGTCGTAGTTCAATTTTGTTCTAAAGAGGTAAATACTAAGTCGAGGAAACATTCGATCTCCCGACTCTGCTTACGGAATTCGGGGGGGGGGGGAGCTGTTTTAGCCTGCGAAGCTATCGTGTATACTTGATAAGTATCATTTTATAATCATTGGTTATTGGTTACTAATGGCAGAACTTGATTCTTGAGTTACGCCATTTGATTTTTAAAGTTCATAATCCGCTGATTAACATGTTATGGTTAGAAGTGTCGATTTTACTGTCTTATGGAGTTAGAATACTTTCCAAAGAAGTGAAAACTGAGACTGTCTGGGATTCGAGCCTTTACAATATTGGACATGTGAAGATGGCTGTATGTGAAACTATATTCACTATTATTGTGATGTAATAATATCACACCTATTACCAACTAACAGATCATGTTTATAAAACGTAATGTCTTTTAAACAATATACATATCTTTTCAACAAAGCCCTTGTAAATTGTAGCCTATCTAGCAGGGTGAACTTTGTTACTAAGCGAAAGGCCTAGTGCCCTAGTCAGTAACAAACTACAATTTAATATAATAAATGGTGTAACTGAAATGTTACAATACACTCTTTTTTACAGGTAACTCATATTAATCAAGTAAAGAAAAATTAGTATTAGATTAATTGTGATGCACTATATTTAAAAGATATTAGTAAATGAATACCAAGTAATAGTAATATAATAAACTACACTATTCTCTAGATTCTCACTAGATGGCAGAACAATAATAACTTACCCAGGTAAAGGGTTAAGTGAACCAATGTACATCTTCACTTTTACTTGGTAAGAAATCAAAATTCCAAAAAACTCCTGAATTTCTTTTTCAGAGACCCTGAAAATACAATATGTATCCAAATATATTATTGTAACGGTTTCTATTTATGGGCGGGTTCTTTTCAATTATTCAGTAAAACAAGTACGAAACCCAGTCTATTTAATGATACAGAAAATGTTTCAGTCCTTTTACTTTAACTTCCACGAATTAGTTTAACTGCTTGCTGATAGGTCCAAGATAGACGCTATTACAGCAATTCAGATTGCTTGTTAACTACTGTTAAGTACGTAAGGAAGTTTCTCGTATCTCTAAAGTTTCGTTTAAATACACCCAACTAGCAGACAAACGGACGAACAAACATGCTAACTCAGTAACAAGTCATCACTACAGCAGAAGTATATATCAATTAATAACAAGCTATAATCTAGTGTAGCTAGCTTCTTAAAAGGAGCTCCGAACATTCCTTACAATTTCATTAAACTTTCGGCCGTTAAGCCACGTGCTTATCATGTTACGTGAAAACTCTCTCTGGTAAAAAAATACAAACGTCCATATAAAAATGATAACATAGTCTATAGGAAGAAAAGAAAAACACAATCACAACTAATAAAGTGGCATACTTTTGTATAAAGCGTGATTTTTCTATCAAGCTCATTTTAGGACTATATTTGTTTACTACCTAGCTTGGTTAATTTAGCTTCAGGTCAGGTTACCCTTGTAAGCTATTGTGTCAAGTTACTTTTGTTAGGTAGTGTGTCGGGTTACTCTTTTTAACTACTGTATATAACTCACGCTTGTTAGCTATTGTGTCGAGATTCTATACTACGCAAAGCATATATTGAAATGTGTAACTCTAATATTGGTAAACATGAGTTAACATGCCCCTACAGGGCTAGGAAGTCCGTCAGATGTTACATTTACAGGGTGAGGAAGTCCGTGAGAAGTTAAGAAATAAGCTTGGAAAATATCAGGTAGTCTTTTTTTTGTTAAACTGTTTCTAGTGGAAATTATAGTTACAGAATGTTTATTTTCATTATAGTTAGTTAGGGTTATGGACTTTTAATTATCGTTATCCTGTCAGTTAACTGAGTTTTGTTTTAATTAATATTAGTTATCGTAATACAGTGGTATTGAAAAACATTGCAGTGCCTTATTTTAAGTTTCCTTTAGAAATTAACAGAAGATACAAACAACTGTTGCTTTCTTATACACGTTGAAGAAGCTATATTGAGAACTGAAAAGTAACAAGCTATTTTCAGTTAATTTCAAGGTCATTGTTAGTTAAACTTATAATCCATTTTCATGAAAACTTTCCTTCGCGCAGTCTGACACTTTCTGTTCCGTTGTGAAATCTCGAGGAGATTCTTTCAACGTAGGCAAAAATATGCCTACAGAAAATATGAAAAATAAAACGCTAAGAAAAATTGTACGGATCTACACACAGAACTCACAGGCAGCGACCCGCATCTGTTAAACAGATGGAATACATTAATAACGGATTTAATAAAATATCAGTCTGTTGTATGGCTTGACTGCTGAATAACAAACGATTTTATTTTATATTGTTATTTCGTTATTGTTCGAGTTATCAGTCTGTTGTATGGCTTGACTGCTGAATAACAAACGATTTTATTTTATATTGTTATTTCGTTATTGTTCGAGTTATCAGTCTGTTGTATGGCTTGACTGCTG